GTGGTTTTCGGCTCATAGCTCGGGCCTTCGGCGGCCGTTCGAGACAATCTGGGCACCGCTGGAACGCACTCAGCGAGACGCAGCCGCTGGAAGACATCCTGAGGCTGGAGAGCCGCCGAACACCGACGAAAACCCCAGAAAAATTCAAAACTCGCACCTCGAAGCTGTCTCGCGCTTCCCCCTCGATGCCGACACCGCGCGCGCTCGCCGCAGGCAAAACATCCGAGCAGTCGCCCCCCCTGCGCCCACCGGCACCGTGCGGCGCGGCCCGGCCCCCAGAAGGCGGCGCGCTGTGTGCACGCACCGCTGCCCCGGGAACACTGCGGTGCGAGCGCGCCGGGCAAGCGACGGGCAAGCGACGGAGCAAACCCGCGGCAGGATCCCCGGGCACGGCCCCAGAGGGAGGGGGAAGGGAAGAGGTGGACGGATGATGAGGAGGGGGAGGAGGACGGTGAGGGGAAGGAGCAAGGATGAGGGTAGGAGAAGGAGGAGGAGGAGGAGGAGGAGGAGGAGGAGGAGGAGGGAGATCAGGGGGGAGGAGGGGAGGAAGCAGCAGGAAATAGAGGGGAGGCGAGGAGGAGGAGGAGGAGGAGGTTATTGGCACTACTGTTCATCCTGCCATTAGCTGGCGCAACATCCGAAGGAAGGAAGAGGAGGATAATGAGGAGGAAGTGAAAGATATGAAACTGCTCTGCACACAAAGCCGCCCATCCCAGTGTACGTAGGAACCGGACGGCACCCGATCAGCATCCGACCATGCTCATGCCATCGCAGCGGTCACGCTGCTAGCACAACATGGAAGCCACTGTCACTCCCACGTATCTCTTTACCTCTGCCCTTGCCATCAGATGACGACAAGTCCTCGTCTTCTGCTCTCCTCCCACGCAGCACAGCCGCAGCACCAACCGCCAAGCCTGAAGCAAGGACCAGCGCTCACTCAACGTCCCGTAGCTTCGACTTCCATGCGCATCAATGCACTTATAACCATTGCTGCAGACCCATGGGTGACCTCTTCCGTGCGACAATGTGTTGCTTATGTGGGCTCCTCATGTCCCGTTTAGCTCAACTAGCCGTTCCTTTTTCAGCATGGCTGCCGCGTGTACTTGTGTGCGATGCACTGGCGCAACGGTCGTCCAGACACAACAGGCACCGCAAAGTGATGGTGCAAAGCTCAAGGGAAGAGGAGGAGGAGGAGGAGGAGGAGGAGGAGGAGGAGGAGGAGGAAGCGGAGGAGGGGAAAGAGGGCGGTAAGGAGGATGAGGAGGATGATGAGGAGGAGGAAATGGGGCTCCTCATCCTTCTCCGCGTTGCCCCTCTCGTCCGTCTCCCCCTCCCCCCCTCCTCGGGGGTGTCCCAGGGTGCCTCGCATGGCTCTCTAATTTGGGGGCGTTAGAGGGGGGGTCCAGGGACTGCCAGTCCTGCGATCTCCCACGCCCTCGCGGGCTCGGAATTGGCCCCGCCCCCACCTCCCCACCTAGAGGCGGAAAGGCACGAAGGTCCCTCCCCGAACCTCGACCCACGATCCTCGACGACGACCTCGATCCTCGATCCTGGACCCTCGACGACCTCGACCCGCGCGATCATTGATCCTCGATCCTGGGCCCTCGACCCTCGACCCTTGACGACCTCGATGCTCGAGCCACGGTCCTCGAACCTCGACCCTCGGCGACCTCGATCCCCGACCTCGCTCCTCGATCCTTGGAGCCTCCCTCCTCGACGACGACGACGACCACCACCACTACCACCACGGCGACGACGACGACGACGAGAACGACGTCGATCCCCTCGCGCGAGCGCCTCCGTCCCCTCCCGTCCCGACCCCTCCTTTTCCTCCTCCTCCTCCTCCTCCTGCTCCTGCTCCTCCTCCTCCTCCTCCTGCGTTTCTGCGTTTCTCGCTCTGAGCAGCGTCTCGCGTACGCCCGGAGCGCGGAGCGCGCCGCAGCAGCCCACGAGGGCCGTGCGGGCACTCAGACGACGGCCCCGGGAACCCGACCCCGAGGAAGAGAAAGAGGACCAGGGACCAGCCGTTTCAGCACGTAACAGAGGGGAAGAGACGGGGCCGGGTTACAAGGTGGGGCCCCCGGGGGCCCCAAAAGGCGCGGCGCGCGGCCTCGGAGCAGGCGGGCCGCAGAGGCAGGGGCCACCGCCCCCCGCCTCTTCAGATGAAGTACTCCCTGCGGTAGCCGAACGCGACGAACTCGCCCCCCCCTCGGCGGCCGCCAGCCTCCTCCGCCTTAGGAGGGCGGCACGCTCACCACCCGAGGGGGCGATGGCGTTGAGGAAGCCGCTGTTCAGGTTGGTTACCTCCGTGAAGCCCTGCTGGTGCCCGATGCACTGCTGGTGCCCGGTGCTCTGCTGGTACCCGTTGGTGTGCTGCTGGTTCGGTCACGGCCTCGAGGGGGGTCGGGCACGGCCTCGAGGATGAAGCGCACCTTCTTGGTCGTATGGGTTGGTGTGGTGGCGGCCGTCGGAGTCCTCCTCGTGGGAGTCGTCCTGGGGCTGCTAGTCTTCCTTCTGCGTCCTCCTGCGCCCTCTGCGTCCCTGAGGTACGGCGCGAAGAGCGGGCCGGAGGCGAGTGCATCTCGTGGGCACTCGGTGGTCCACTCTGCCTGCGCCTCGCTGCCCAGGGAGCTCCAAGCCTGCGTGGCTATCCACTCGCTGGCGCCACGGCCGCGGGCGTAGCGCATGAAGGCCGAGTAGGCCGCGAGCTCGGCGAACGAGACCTCCTCGTAGGCGCGCTGCTCATCGCGCGGGAGCAACGAGAAGGCCGAGCGGGCTCCCTCGGCTTGGACGGTAGCGAGGCGCGCTCGCAAGGCCTCCTCCTCGGTTCTGTCAATGACGTCGTTGAGCGTGTCCTCGAGATCCCTCGAAGATGTCCCACGGCTTGCGGATGTTCGATGGGATCTGTCCGCTCCCCCATATGTTGGTGCTGCACTGCCCGCTGCCACTGCTCGCACCACTGCCCGTCGCCGCCTGTTCTCGCAGGAGGCTGCCGCTGCTCGCTCCACTGCCCGCCGCCGCCTGTTCTCGCTGTCTTGCGCCACTGCACGCACCGCTGCCCGCCACCGCCTGTTCTCGCAGGCTGGCGCCACTGCCCGCCGCCGCCTGTTCTCGCAGGGGGCAGCCACTGCCAGCGCCACTGCCAGCCACCGCCTGTTCTCGCAGGCTCGCACCACTGCCCGCTGCCACTACCGTCTCTTCTCG